CTGCCTGGCAAAGACCCAATAGGACAAGCCTCATTGCTTCCAATGCCTTTCACGGACTCCTCCAAGCAGGACAGAGGACTCCCTCCTTTGTGCCTCCTCTGTGCCCCAACTACACACCTACAACTCTTCATAGCTCCTATTTGTTTACAGCCAAGGAGCAAAGGAACTTCTGCTGTTTGTCTAGGAAAAGAAGATTCAAGGGGTCATAACAACGGTCCTTTGATATCAGGAGGGCAGCTTGTACAGGAAGAGTTAAGTCGGGTTCTATGTGGCTCTACAGGGTGGAGCTGGGTGATCTTACAAGGAGTTGGATTTTGGTGCACTATAAGAGAGAAGATGGTCTCAGGTCCATCTTGTGAGGTAGTGAGCACCTGGCACTGGTGTTCAAATCTTGGCTGAATTACTGTGCCAGGAACATCATAAACAAGATGTCTGTAGTGGGTGCGAGGTTGCATTGGGTGACATTCAAGTTCCTTCTAAATCTGTGCAGAAGTAGTAGAGTACAGTGTTTAAAGACTGCCAGGTGTGAATCCTGGCTTGGCCACTTACTTAGTTCTGTGGCTTTGAGCACAAGTCAATTGATCTTTCCAAGTCTTAGTTTCATTAACTTTTGAGGGAAGTTCATGATACCTACCTTTTAGGGTTATTGTAAGTGTTAAATGCAATTATACATGTTTGAAAAACAGCACAATAACTGGTCATGGCTCAGTAAATGTTAGTTGTCATGTCTGTCCCTGCCTTCATGTGTGCACTGAATTTCACACTGCTTCTCACTTCCATGCCTTGGCTCTAATGCTCCTCGGCCTGGAACTCTCCCTCCCCATCACCTACCTAATTTAGGCATGCTTTCAGACCTAGCTCAGGTGACACCACACTCAGTGATGTGCTTCAGTGTTCCTCTTACCTCCCACTGAAGCACATCACTGAGTGTGGTGTCACCTGAGCTAGGTCTGCAAGCATGCCTAAACTAGCTTACCTCCCAGAGCAAACCCTTACAACTGTGCCATATATCCCACGGCTGAGGGCATGGCTGCTGCTGTACTCTGCCTAGCACAGTGCTCCACCCATGTCAAATGCTCCCTTCATTTTATTTGGAGCTTCAGGTTCCAGTCTGTGTTCCATATCTGAATCAGGGCTTGACAAGTCTTCCACCATCACTCTCATAAACACATTGCTCTTAAAGTCTGATGAGCTCATGGGGAGTCCATTCTCCAGGACAAGTGTCTCCTTTTTGATATATTCTATATCAAAATTTTGAAAACTCAATGAAACTTTTAACAAGTGGACAATCAGCACTGTCCAATGGGCTGCCCCTGACGCTCTGTCCTCTTGCTTCCCCTACAGGGGCTCGAGGGCATCTACCATTCCCCATTCATTTAAGTTTGTGTCAGGCTTTCTTACCGAAGTACCAATGTTCATTGAACATCTAAAGTGTACCAGGAGCCATCTCATGACGTCAGAACTTTATACCTCTTGAAATTCGGTTCAAACATGATGCTTGATGGTGGCTAGAATTTAATGTGCCTATTTGGCACTAAAATTCAAGTTTGCTTTCATTTTGTCAAAGCAACTCAGCGTTTTGGTTCAAGATGCTAAAGAAATTAATTGGACCCCAAAAATCTGCATGAGAGATAGATAAGCTGGGAGGAGGATAGAATATTGAGGCAAAATCTGTATAAACATTACTACACAGCCAAGAATGGGCAGCTACCTCTACTTATCATCCTAATTATTCCACCAAGTGGTGGGAAAGTCCATTTATTGTATCTGCTGACTTTCCAGGGTAAACTGATGAGCAGCCAATACTAGTTTTGTGTGTGTGTGTGTGTGTCTGTGTGTGTGCGTGTGTATGTTGAGGGGGGTATTTATTGAATTCAATTACCTCTCCTTTCCAATAAATGAGAAAATGCTTAAAATGCCTAATGCTTTCCTTAACAGTTCTTCACTGTATTTTTATTTAAGAGGGCACTTTAGAAGAAGTGAGAGAGCTATTACTATTATAACTAAGAGCTTGCCCCCTGAACCCAGAGGAATTTTTTCTACTTTATCTTGCTATGAGATGTCTCAAAGTTTGGTTTCCTGATCATCAGAATTCGAATCACCCAGGCTACATATATAGACTCCGAGGCTGCACCCGAATCCTCCTGTTACATCTGAGTGTGGAGCTCAGCAATGGGCATTTCTAGGAAGCCCCATGCACAATGGAGTCTGAGAGACCCTATGCCACATGGGGATGATATGTGAGGTTGACGATCCACCTGCCAGGAAAAGTGGGGTTGCTATCCTTATAGAGAACATAGCACTGGGGTTATGGGTCATAAAAATGGAAAAGTCCCTGTTTTTAATATGCAGATAATAAAACAGGAGCCCAAGATGAACCTTTATTCAGCATGCCACTCTCACCAGCTGTATGGCCCTGGGCACAGCACGGAGCTACCACATTTATAAAATGGAGATGATCATACATCACCCGCTGAAGACAGGACTTGGCCAGATGACCTTTCGAGATCCTTTTACCACTAAAATCCAGTATTTTATTTTAAAGCTTAATTGTAAGAGTGACTTGAAGGTGAGAAGGGGCTCTGAGGTGGGCCTGAGTTTGCACAGAGCTCTCGTGGAGGAAATGCTTGCTTTTCAAACTGAGAAGGCATCCCTGTGGGATGTTTGGGGGCTGGATCAAAAAAACTTCTGGCATTCTGGGTTTACTGGGAGTAGAAAGGTTTATGGTGACTAGAGAATAGGAGCCCTGGGCAAGGACCTCACCTTTAAACTTATTGTATTTAACAATTTTTTTTTAAATTGGTTTACACAGTTCTTATTTTTTTTTTTTTTTTTGAGTAAGAGTGGCTCTACACTAACATCTGTTGCCAATCTTAATCTTTTTCTTTTTTCTCCCCAAAGCCCCAGTACATAATTGTGTATCATAGTTGTAGAGTTGTAGCTCTTCTATGTGGGATACCACCTCAGCATGGCTTGATGAGCAGTGAGTAGGTCCGCACCCAGGATCCGAACCAGCGAACCCCGGGCTGCCGAAGCAGAACGCGCAACCTTAACCACTATGCCATCGGGCCAGCCCCAGAAACTTATTGTATTTAAAACATTAGTGTCTCATGCAAAATGCAGAGCAAGCCCCTCTCTCTCCAACAAAAATCACCCTTCTACATCCCTCCTTTAAAGAAACTCTGCCAAGTCTGCCCTCCCCTTGTCTCTCTTGATGAACACAGATTCCTCCCTCAAGACCCAGCACATGGATGGTCTCTGGTGTATAAATGTCACAGAGAGCTTTTCTATGGCCACAACATGGATTCTGTCATTCCTAATCCCTAGCATTTATTTTTGTCGCAAACAGGTACTTGCAAGCTGACTTTACAATAGCTAACTCCCGTGTCTTTTTTCACTTTGAATCTTCAGTGCCTAGGACATTGCTGCCTTCACAGACTTTTGCTGAATCACAAGGATTAATTAGCTGGTTTAGTTTCTCCTGCAGGATCTGCCATGTCCTGTTGTGAACCTCTTTACACCCTGCTGTGAATCACTGCATGAAGGCCCTAGCAGGGCTTTGGTGCATAAATCAGTTTGCCTACAAAGGCCATCTAGGTAAGGCTGGACAGCTGGCATTCATAAATTTTGCATGTTGGTGGCATCTTCCAGAAATGCATTTCACCTAGCATCCATGCTTTGAGTTACTTTGGAGCTAATTTACATCTGGACATCACTGCATCCACCTGATGAGAACACAAACAGAAGTCACTGGGTACCAGAGAGTGAGTGGCTGGCATCCTTCTGGGCTGCTTGGAGGCTGTCAAAATGTCTCTGGGAGGGAGCTGTGGTCTCTGGGGCCTTCCTCTGATAAACTCATTCTCTAAACTGCAACTAAAAATTTTCTACAAGGGAAGGGGCCAGGGGACCTGCCTGTCCCCAATTGCCTAAAAGGATGTTTCACAAATGTCCTCTCTTCTGACCACAGTCCCTTTGGGCCAAGGTCACGCTGGCTAGAAAAACTCAGGGTGTAATTTTCTTAGACGAGGGCAGTGAATTTATGGCTCCACATGTCACAGAGAGGAAAAGAGGGAGAGAACAATGCTTCTCGCTGACCACTGTGGGCATGTGACTCTGTGCAGCTATGGTCTTTGACCAGGAAAGGTCAAGGTTCAGTGACTTGAGTTACATCAACAAACACAAACCATTCCATCTCTGCCGTTCCATCCCCGACTGTACTCCCGGACATCTGGCCCCTGTTTTTCACTGAGGCAACTCTAACTGCCCTTACCTTCTACAATAGCTTCCTAACTGGTTTCCCTGCCTCTGGCCTGGCCATGTCTAATCCACTCCTCTCTGCAACCAGCATGCTTTTTGCGAAAGACAGATCTGATCCTGTCACTTCTTCACATCAAATCACCCAAGGGTTCCCACTGCCTTGGGATAATTTCTAAAATCCTCATCCTGGCTAACGGCCCTTGTGTGATCACTGGGCCTACTCACAAGTCTCATTTGTCATCACTCCCTGCTCCTTCCAGCAACAGGAAATTTCTTTCAATCCCTTCAGTGTAGGTTCCTTTCTTGCCCTTAAGCCTTCCTCATATAAGCTGTCCCTCCACCTGGAATGCTCTCCCTCCCCTGTGTGTTTTCACAACATCTAATTCCTACTTATCCTTTATCTCAACCCAGAAGGTACTCCCTTTAGGAGATCTGCCCTCTGGATCTGGTCCTCCCAGAGGACTTTTTATTTCCCCAACAATAGTTCTCACGTGGGCTCGCCCTAACTGGGTTTTATGTCCGTGTTGCTCACTAAGCTATATGTGCCACAGGACTAGGGGCTAAGCTTGTCTTGTTTATCCTTGTAGCCTCAGCATCTCTCATAGTAACTAGGCACATAGTAGGTGGTCAGTAAATATTTTGTTGAATGAGTGAATGAACCAATGCATGCATGCCAGGAATGGTAACTGAGTCTACTTCTCAAATCTTGGGAGATGGGAGGGAACTCTCCAAACCGCACTCACCGTTACAGGTGCAGCGCACATTCCTGTAGAAGCGCGGACACACAAAGCTGATGCGAGCCGTGCTGTAGGTCATGAGCGCGTGGGAATCCAGTGACAAGCCTTGCTCACAATGCTGCTCCTGACAGTCCAGCCCCGAGCAGTTCTTCTCCAGGATGGCTGAGATGCGCATGACGTTCTCCAGATGTCTCCTGGCACTAGACAGCTTCTGGATCAGGTAGGCCGGCTTGTAGAACTCACTGCTGTGCATCTCCACAGCAAACAGCATGTCCAGCTGGTTGGTACCTGCCACGGGCTGGATGCTGATGATGCGCAGGCTGTCCTGCTTCTGGGTGAGGACTGCATTCCGCAGGGTGCGCCGGAACCCATGCATGTGCAGCCCCACGAAGTCCTCGGGGGACACATTCTCAAAGCGAATGGTCACGGTGTTCTGCAGCATCTCGTGCACCAGCTGCTCCACGTGCACGACCACATCGATGGGCACCTGGAAGCGGCCGTCACTCACTGACACATTCAGGACATACTTGCCGCTGTCAAGGCCTCCCAGGGCGATGATTTTCCCATCGTGACTACTCACTTTGAACAAGCTTTTCTGCTCCGATTTCAGAGCAAATGTGAGCACATCATACATGTCTTGATCTGTGGCATGGATCTTCCCAATGACCCCACCAGGAAAGTCATCCTCCATGGTGACAATGAAAATTTCCAGGGGGATGGCTGTGGGTTTGTGGATACTTTCCTCGATGACCTTCACGCGGATGTAGGAGTGAGACACTTGCTGAGGTCTGCCTGAGTCTTTTGCCTAAAAAGACCCAAAGAGAGCAAGGTGAGGAACTAAGAAAAAAATCATAATAATTTAAAAAAACAATGAAACTCAGATAAAAGATGTCTGTTCCTTTAACCAGGTTTGCTTCTTTTTCCATCCCCTGCCACTATTCTGCAAAATGTTGAAGATGTGCATTTAAATAAGAGGAGTGATTTATCACTGGCCTTGTTTTAATTCTGGACAGAAGCCACAAGGGAACCTCATAAAGTGGCATTCCCACTTGGAAGAGAAATCTTTATTCTCTTTGGATTCTTTCCTTTTGATTGGACCAGATAGCAACTTTCTGCACATTTACGAAACAACACTATTTAAGTGGGAATTACACAATATTAAGGTTTAGAATAAAACATGGTACACTGAAGGGAAAAATAGGTAGCCTGAAAAAAGCCTTTTTGGCTTCCTTCTTGATATAAGAATCGACAGAACAACCACTCTGACAACAGATCTTTGCTGAACACCTGCCACGTGCTACCTGGAGATAGCGCTGTAGGGCTTCAGAGGAGGGCAGACTCTGGTGGGCTGGGTCCCTAGCGCAGGTGTCTGAGTATGTGGGGCTGCAGTGGACCTTGCCAGCCAGGTGGGGTCTGGGGAGATGTGTCCTTGTATGTGGAAGGCAGTGTAAAAGCAGGGGCTTGGGCATCACACAGACCTGAGTTCCAATCTTGGCTCTGCCACTCAGTGTGTGTCTGACCTTGAGTAAGTTGCTTAACTTCTCAGAGCGTCAATTTTTGTATCTTTAATATGAATAAAATAGTAGTATCCACCTCACAGGATCCTTGTATTGTGGAGTTAAAAGACACAGTGATTGCAAAGTGCTTAGTGTAGGCTTGACCCCACAGAAGTACTTAGTACATGAGAGTTAATGTGAGTGTTGTTATTTTTATTATTAACGTCTCCACATACTTCATTTGACAAACCACGTGAACCAGAGATGCTGAAATGGAAGAGTAACATAGGAAGAGATAAGTTTAGTAAATTAGGCTGAACTTGAGGTCAGACTGTGGAGAACCTCAAAGGACAGAGATAAGTTTGGACCTTATAGGCCAGAGGATGCCCACTCAAATGTCAGAGGCCAGAAAGAGGACAGCAAGGCATGAAACTGCTGGGTATAAGGTGATAGACTAGTGGGCCTGTGGCCTGAGGACTGGAGAGTCACGTCTGTCTAAAGACCCTGAAATTAGAAATCTGAAAGAGTCTGGGGCCGGAATTCAACCTGCAGGGCAGAAGTTTTCAAGCACTAGGGAGCCACTGATGGTTTTAGTTTAGGGCAGGGGTTGGCACACCTTTTCTATAAAGGGCTAGATAAGAAATAGTTTAGGCTTTGGGGGTTCCACAATCTCTATCAACTACTCAACCATCATTACAGCATGGAAGCAGCCACAGAGCCTATGTAAACAAATGGGCAGGGCTGTGTTCCAATAAAGCTTTATTTATAAAAACAGGCTGAGGGCAGGATGTGGTCCAGGGGCTGCAGTTTGTTGACCCTTGGTTTAGGGGAATGACATAATCAAAGCAGAATGATAAATCTGGGAAGGGTGTGGGGATGTATCAGAAAAGAATGAGGCTGAAGTCAGAGGAATCACCCAGGAGGCTCCTGCAATAGTACGAGAATGGGGTGGTATAGAATAAAATGAGGCAATGCTAAAGGGAATGTGACTGATGCACACAGGGACCTTCTGAAGGTAGAAACGCAGGACTCAGTGGTAGTTTAACATAAGAGACTAAGAGGAGAAAGCTCTCTATGATGTTTCCAAAGTCTGAGATGTGGAATCCGGTCTCTAACAACCAAAGAGGCTATGCAAAGAACTGTACTAGCTTCTGTGAGAAGGCATTAAAAATCTCTCCTTGCCCTTAGGTACCTATACTGTGATATAAAATTATTTACATAATATCATTGGAGGAGTGGGTGGCAACTGATGGGTTTGTTGACATGCTCAGAGCCAAAAGTCATTAATTTGGAAGGTTTCATGGAGCAGAGTAAGCCATAAGTTATCAAAAGAAACAATGAACACCACTAAATGCTGTACAAATATAAAGAATTACTATTGTTATTATTGTCACCATTAATAATGGCTTTAGGTTGCCTGCTATGGCAATTGTGGGTAAAAAATCTCATTTGGTTTCAATGATGGGACCCAAATCTTGGTGCTGGCAAAATTCATACATGGCAACTGTCCTCTCCACACTCTTTCCATACCTGCCACTTTGGCCTTTTTGTCCCATTTCATTGTACGCAGGCCAATGACCTTGAGGAAGTTGGAATGTGGGGAGGCCATTGCCATCTGAGTGCTTGGTCCCCGCCTGCCTCACTAGGGAAACTTACCAAGCAGATGTCTCTTCAAAAGCGGAGGCTATGGTATGTCTCAATCACCTTAGGGCAACGATCGGAAGCTTTGCCAAGTGGGGGTGATGTGGCAAATATTATTCAGTAGAAAGCAGCAAGCTTTCACCAATTAGTTGTCTTTGGAGGTCAATTAGAACCCCAGGAATTTTTAGAATGCAGATTCAGACCCAGTGACTGTCTGCCTGGCATACCCTACAGGAATGTTCCTCTTGAACAATGATGCTTCTCTTCCTTCCCGTTCAATTTCACACACAGAGGCCGCTTTTATTGGTGTGAAATTGAATTTGAGATTAAAAGGGGAACATTCCTGCACAGTAATGAATTATGTTGACTTGCTCAACAAAGAAAAACCAACCAACGGGCACAGAAACAAGTACGAGAGACAGCCGGCCTAATGTGGACAGAGAACAAGGCCATACCTGGACACACAGCACGTATTCCGGAGACTCCGTGTGCCGGAAGACCACGGCTGACCGCAGGATCCCATGTGGGTCCAATATGAACTCCTCCTCTTCATTTCCCGACAAAATAGAGAAGGAGAAGGGAGGCCCATTGTGAAAGGAGTCCCTGTCTGTCACCACCAGCTGCAAGATGCTGGTGCCTACTGGCTTATTTTCCTGCATAAAAGAGTATATTAAAAAGGAAGATAAAATTACACCTCTCTTCACATTTTAAAAAACCCCATCATTACCGGCTGAGAGTGCTGTGCTAAAAAACAGGGCTTTTAGCGGAAGGGATTCCCTGTGATATTATCTTGTCTTCTGAAAATATGCTGGCATCTGCAAGCATCATGCTTCCCATCCTTGGCTGCCTCCCCACAACTGCCCCATGAGACAATGAGCTGCAGGTGAGAACACAAGGACTTTGTGTTGAACGGGTTTGTAGGTTCCAGGGATGGTCCCTACACCTGGAAATGCCCTGAATTCGCCTCTATAGCTCTGGGAATATAGGGTGCTCACCAGCCTTGGTGACACAGTGGAAATCCTCATGGGCCAAGAAAACATCAACCTTTCAGGATGGGAAGGCACTTCCTCACACTTGTCACAACACAATTACCCTGAGGCCCAACTCTGTGACATAATGTCACAACATCGGACTTCTTGGGAGAACATCCTGGCAACTTCCCAGTAAACATACAAAAGCATATGCCAGGTGGAAAAACGGGGCTTTAAACCCCACCCCTCAGAACACAGTATTGCCACATTTCTCGAGGAAATGGAAAGGGGGTAGAACATTTCTCAACTTGAGAATGAAGAGAAACGAAGTCCTTAACTTCATCAGAATTTTTGGAAGCCCCGATATTATCATGCAAGCATGATTTTGCAGAACCTCTCTGCCTTTTCCCCAAAATAGGAACATGAAGGCTTTTTGTCACTCCTTCTTGGGTCAAAGGTTCTCCTCACTTCGAAAACACCAAATTAATTTCCTCTGTAGCTCAGGCACTGGTTTCCTTGGCCCACTCTGTTGAGACTTCAGCATTACCACAGTGTGGGTCTGAAGTCAGTTTCATTAGTTCAGGCCTTCTGATGACATTGACTTAATATTAAATGAATTTGGGTCACAGAGATGAAGACAATGATACACGGCGGTTTGGAAGGGAGTCATGCATGGGGCAGGCACACTTCAATTTATGTGCTGAATTAGTCTTATGAAAACCATGTGTTGGAAGAAGGAAATTATTCTGGGTTGGAAAAAGGGAGGAACATTTGTTGAAGGAGAAAGAGAAAAGACCTCAAAGACCTCTTATTTTGCCCCTTCTCTCAAGCAGCCCCTTGGTCATCAGAACAACTAGACACCGTCTCCCTCTGGACTCGGTGGTGGAACTGCCTCGGCCCAGCGTAGATTTACTATTTCACACTGACAGTATACTCAGCACCACAAGAAATAGAAGATTTATTGATTTGTTTGCTCACTCTATAAAGGCCATTTCCTCCAGAGGGGAGAGAGAGAGAAAGAAAATGTGCGCTCTACGGGTCATGGTCTGAGAAAGAAGGGTGACACGTAACACAGACAGGCCGCTGCGCTGCAGATATGAGCCGCGGTCACAGCCGCGGTTTACAGGCTGCCATTCTCGGTTCTCTCCCTGCTGACTTCCTGTTGTGCATGTGAAAACAGTCTGTCAAGCTGATCGATGTGTGTCATAAAACCAAATGTTGAGTAGGCAAAGCCCATTTTGTTTTAGTGTGAGCACACAGAGGCGGTGAGAGGCAGAGAGCACCCTTGTGGGTGATCGTCATGAAGGAGAGCAATCTGAGAGGAAGAGCAATGGAGGAAGGTGCAGACTCTGGGTGAAGCTTTGTAGAAGCAGGAGAGGGGTCAGAATGCACAGCTGCTGGAAAAAGCATCAGAGAGGAGAGGAAAACCAAAATACCACCGGTGAAGGAATCAGATTTCGCTGACAGAGGGCTGGGAATGAAGCAGAGAGCTGCTTGCTTTACAACCGCCTCTGAGCCTGATTCCTGGACAGCTCAGTGGTGCAGGGGGGCGCTGACTACGGATGGCCAGACTCAAAGTCTTCAATGCTATTCCAAAGGGGCCCCTCAAGACCTGGCTCACTCTCATCTTACCTTCTCCCCACAAGGCCCTGGGAACCCGTGGGGGGTGATTCTCAGGCCAAATTGGATCAGGCAAGAGCCAATTCTCTAGAATATCTGTGGCCCCCCAAGACACGTATATCAACCCCTGAATCCTCTAAGTTCTGCACCTGACAGTATTCCTGGACTGGATTTCCTGATCCTCCTGAAGTTGGGCTTCAAGCTTCTAGAAATACTGGGAAGAGGAGGTAGCTTGGCGCCTAGTACCGTGCTCATGAAATACCTTCTGGATAAAACACAGATGGGAGAAGAGTCATTCTCTCTGACAGCAGAATACCAGTAGCAAGTTACTCCATCTTGCAGTCTAATTTGAAAGAGCAAGTGGACTTAAAGTGCTAAACAAATTGCTTATGGAAGACTGATTTTAATGAGTAGCAGCTCTATCCTGATGCCCAACCTCCCTTTGACTGATGATTTGTGTTAATCTTCCTCCTCTGCCAGAACAGCACAAAGTAGCTTGAAGGCAGCCTGTTATTGTGGAAAGAGAACAGTTTTTGCTGAAGACAGACCTGAGTTCAAATCTTGACTCTACCACTTACCAGCTGCATGATCTTGGGTGAGCTACTTAACCCCTCAGATCCTTAGCTCCTTCACTGCAGATTGGGGGCCGATGCACTACCCCACTTCACAGGGCTGTGGTGGGGACAGATGGCATATGTAAAGCACCTGACACTTGAAAGGACCCCATTAGCGATAGCACTTATCACTGTTTATTAATCGGTTGCAGTAAAAGAATCAGGCCCTTTTCATACCAGCCCTATGACAGGATGAGTTGGTATTAGGTAAAAACAATAATAAACCATGAGGAGTAAACCCCAGCAGAGGAAGGAGGCTGAGTGCATATGGACAATGCCTGGTAGGCAAGACTGCTCACCTGAATCACAGCGGTATAGTTAGCAGGTGTAAAGACTGGGCTGTTGTCGTTCACATCAGAAATATCAATGTTGACAGTGGCCGTTGACGACATTGCAGGAATGCCGCTGTCTACTGCCTGGATGAGCAGGGAGTATCCAGACACCTGCCAAAGCACAAAGGGCTGAGAGTAAAGAAGTGCGGCACTTCCCTCCTGTGCACACTCAGACTCAGCTGTGCTTTGTTGAAGATCAGCCATCTTCACTTCAATTTTCTAGACTGCTACCATTGACATTTAGGCCAGATAATTCTTTGTTGTTGGGGGCTGACCTATGCATTGTAGGATATTCAGCAGCATCCTGGTCTCTACCCACTAGAAGCCAATATCACCTCCTGCCCATTTGTGACAACCAAAAATGTCTCCAAATATTGCCAAGTGTCCCCTGGAGGGCAAAACCTCCCCTGGTTAGAACCACAGTTCTCAGCCTTTGTTCAAACATGACAGTTGTCACCACTGATCTGCCATATTTATCAGTTTTGATACTTCGGGAGTTATGGGGATATATCACCCAGTGAGGTCTTTTTGCTTTTTAGCATCACTACTATGACATCTTTTTCCATATTTTTTTTTTTTTTTTTTTTTTTTTTTTTTTTTTTTTTTTTTTTTTTTTTTTTTTTTTTTTTTTTTTTTTAAGATTTTATTTATTTATTTTTTCCCCCCAAAGCCCCAGTAGATAGTTGTGTGTCATAGCTGCACATGCTTCTAGTTGCTGTATGTGGGACACGGCCTCAGCATGGCCGGAGAAGCAGCGCGTGGGTGCGAGCCCGGGATCCGAACCCGGGTCGCCAGCAGTGGAGCGCGCTCACTTAACCACCAAGCCACGGGGCCGGCCCTCTTTTTCCATATTTAATTTCACTTTGAAGACACATATTTTTAGTCAAAAGAGATGATATTTAAGTTTAACCTTGAACAGAGGAATTTTCTGGATCATTCTTTCTGACCTGGATACCTACAGATGATCCTTTTGGATCTGTTCACCCAGGGCTAAAGCTGCCTATGAAACAGGACCACACGATCCCAATGCTGAAGGTGGTTTTCTTCCTCCTTGCTCTAGGAAGGACCAAAATTCAAACCATCTAGAAAGACACACATTTGCTTTTTCTTTAAACCATTCATAAATAAGAAATAGCCAGAATCCATTGGCAGAAAATTCTTTCAAAGATCTAACCCGCATACATCATGCTGCTGTATTTTAGCCCATCCCTATTCACTCTCATTATTTAGAACGGAGAATCTTCCTACTTATACTCATGGATCCTGGGCCTGATTCCAGTGAAGGGGTGGGTGTGGTTGGGAAGGGAGCTGGCCTAAACTAGCTTACCCGTTCCCGGTCTAATTTCTTCTTAACCTTCACAAGTCCCAAGACAGGATCCACAGCAAATTCATTGTCCTGATCTCCACTCACAATCGAAAAATGAATCTGTCCATTGGGCTGGCTATCTGAATCTTCTGCTATTAGCTTCATGGGACATAAGCGAAACAAAGAAAAGACATGACATAAGAGACAGAGAAAAGGTGTATTCTTAGAGTCCCAGGTCTGTACAAATGGGCACAGCTCTGACAGTTTTCTTAGGTGCTCTGCTCACCAATGCAAGTGATCATGCCCCCAGTGGAAGAGATGATGGGTTGGCTGAAGGAGGGCAGTGCCATTACTGGAGCTGCCATTTTATTTCTGTTAGTTGTTACCTGCTCACAGTCTGATGCTTGTTAGGCCTGATTTTCCTCAGGCCTTGAGCCAGTAAGGATAGAGCCAAAGCTAACTGATGGGAATACTTTCATATTCTTTCCCAATTTTGCAAAACAACTGTCTCTGCCACTGAGTTAGGCATTCTATAAACCTATGCATTTCCATGTTAAGGAAGCCCAAGAAAATTCTCTTTCTCACATGGCAAATACACTGCCCCACTCTTTACTGCTCCACATTGGTAATGTTGGGATTTGTATGTATGGAATAGTCTTGTAACATCCAGGAAGGAGAGAAGGCCTGGGAAGTCCACCTTTGATGTGTAAAGAATGCACTCTCACAATCTGGTGCTGCGAGAGCCAGAGACAAGGATGGATGGAAGGGACCTGTCCAACCTCGGAATGGTGAGGATGATGAGGATGGGACTCATAGTTTCCAAAATGTAATTTGTAAGTCTAAGAGAAACCTCATTCTCCTAAACATGGTTTGTTCTTACTGGTATTAGAAAAAATTCCTTCCAGAAAGAGCTCCTCTAAGAGTGGCCAATCAATCTTAAACTTACTCCCATTTGGAGCTGCCCTACTCTGTGTGGGTGTGAGTGTGCGCATGTACAGGGAGCTGGGGAAGGATTTTATTCTATCCTTAGCCACTTAATAAACTTATCATCTAAGGTCACAAACTTGTAGGAGCTATCATTAGAAATTCAATCCATGAACTGTTTTGTTTTCTCAAAAAAACATACACTTCCGGGAGGAAAGTGATTATTGATCACTTACACCATGATATAAATGAATTTATCAGTCCTTTTTCTAATATACAAAGTGGAGAAGCAGCAGTTGAAAGACTGGTGCCTGTCTAGAATTCTTGGGGACAAAAGGACCCTGAAAGGAGAAAGTGTGAAGAGAATCCAGGATAGACTTTGCTCATTTTTTCACTCTACGGAGGATTCTTAGTCCCAGACATCTGGACTTCCCACTGGCACCTACCAAAATGACAGAGTCCCCGACCAAGGCATCTTCACTTATGACAGCACTGTAGACATCTTGGCTGAACTTGGGAGGGTTGTCGTTCACATCCGTGAGGTTGATGCTGACTGTGGCCACGGTGCTGAGAGCTGGAGTGCCCCCATCTTTGGCTTCCACCACTAGGTAAAATTTTTTGCATAATTCATAGTCCAGGACTTCAGAGACAGAAATACCCCCTTTGAAGAAAAATGAGGAGCTTTAGATTTGATTAGGAAGAAACATTGGTCAGCAGTTCCATAATCATGGTAATATTTATAACATCATCTCCAGCCAAGAATTTTAGATATTTAGGAATTTGTTTAATGCCCTGCTGAAAGCATCTCAGAATCTGATTAATGTTTTCAGTTAAAACATAGCTATCCATCAGACACAACACTGAAGAAATTAAGTCTTTGCATGTTTCTGCAATAGTTCCTGAACTTCTCTCAAGCAGCCTGAAAATCTCTGGCATTATTCACCCTCACACAACTAAGAAGTAGGGACAGGAACAAGCATCCCCAATAAGTGTCCCCTGATGAGTCCTCAAGTGGACCCAGGCAGACCGAGAATGAGCCAAGATGTGTGGATGCAATTGTATGAGCCCACCCCTCATCAGCAAGCAAATACTTGCAGACTTAACTGAATTGAATTAACCACTAACGTGCCTCGCCAAGTTATAATATGCTCATCTAAAACTATTATGGCGCGAAGAAGGCAAATACTTCAGAAACTCAAGGTACAGTGACAGAATGGAAAAGGAAATACCTGGGAATCAGTGGGCAAACAGTAAGTCTGAGTTAATGTCTACAACTACAGAACAGAGATGACGCCCATGTCACAGAGTTATTTAAATTAAGCAAGAAGAACAAGCGAAAGCAGTTAGCTGGGTGCCACCCTGGGATGGGCTCAGTGAGTGCTACTTCCCTCCCATTCTAGATCTTCCTGGTGAGGTGACCCAATCCTGCATTCTCAATTGGTAACTGGTCATTGAACTGCCTGGAGAGCAGTTCCCAAGGGCATGTACCTTTCGCCCACCTGGAAAACAATCATTAGGACCAAGGTGAGTATGTTACATCCATTCACAGTTCCAGACAGCCAACTTCGCTAGAGGCTAAGGCTGCCCCTCTGCTTAAGGTGAGAAACAGAAGTCACACATATAACAAGAGGATCTTTCTCCCCATAATTAAGTTTTCTTAGCAATTACCACCCTTAGTGCTTTATTTTGCATCCCAATCTCGTTATCCAGTGCCAAATTTACACAGTACTTAACCATTTCCGCATGGTGTTCATATACAATGGTCATAACTAGACAGGCCAAGGCTAACACATATTTAAATGAGGAAAATCCCCATATATTTTAATTTGAAGTATTGACCTTAATAAAGAGAGTTACTGCTGGGAGAAGCTGCTAATGCAATTCCTCCATCAGTATTTCCACCATCCTAAACTTAAGGGCAGGGACTATATCCCCTTCATTTTTTGCATCCCCCACAGCATAGTAGTGTTATATAGAGGTTACAGCATGAAGTTCAGAGTCAGGAAGATGTGAGTTCAAATCCTGGATTCCCTACTTACTCACAGTGGACATTGGGAAAATGATTTAACCTCTCTGAAGCTGTTTTTCTCATGGAAAATGTGAGAAATAACTAATGATTTAATAAGAACCTGGCATATTTGTCATGTTAAATAAAAGTTGCCAATTATGATAGTTTCTTGTTCATGTTTACTGGACTATCCAAAGGAGAACGGACTTCCTCTGCCACCTTGCTTAATAAGTGCATGTTTCTTGAATGATGAGGGAATCATGTCCAATGGCTGGGAGGTGTGAGAGACTCACCTTTCTTGTCTGAAACATGGGCCTGCTTTGCCTATTTACAGGGGCCTGTAGGTCACTGTGTAGATCACTTACCAGTGTCTGCCTTGGTAGGTGACCAGAGAGTGGCAGCCTGAGTGTGGACAGTGGCAAGCAGATGCTAATCTCCAGGAGCACTTTCAAACAATAAACATATGATCCAAGCAAACAAACAAACAGAAAAGAGAGAGAAACAAACAAACTCTGTGCTCGGTATGTAAATACTACTTCCTCTCCCCACCTATGGACCACATTACTGCTCCGGAGCCTTCCTATGAGAAATCCTGGAACCAATATGGGGGTCAAGTATTTGCCAAGTGAGCCCATAGCTAGAAGCTTAAAACTCAGGAGGAGGCATCCTTAGAAGCAGAGTGTCAGAGGACACTCCGGGGTCTGCTGCAGGCTCTGCTACGAGAAGATTTGTTTCCACTGTGAGAGAGGTAGGAGGAGGAAAAAGAGCCCACCTAAAAGGGCGGCTAGAGGGTTGAGAGAAGCAGGATATAGTAGAGCCTTGAATTCTAAGTAGGCTGCTGTTTACCCACCTGTCTTTGGGTTGATTCTAAATTTCCCTTGTTCATTCCCAGACCGGATGAGATACGTAATCTCAGCATTTGTGCCAATATCTTTGCTGGTGGCAAAAACAGCAAGGACTTGAGTACCAGGGGAGGTGTCCTCAGGCACAGTAACCAGGTAGTCCCTCCTTTCAAACACAGGGGGGTTGTCATTAATGTCCAGGACAGTGATGGTGACAGTGGCAAGAGAGGACAGGGCCTGTCCAGGGCTCTGGTCGGTGGCCTGCACACTGATGTTGTAGGAGGATTGCTGCTCTCGGTCCAGCGGCTGCTCCAGGATGATGATGCCGGAGGAGCTGTCAATGGAGAAGAATCCATTGGCCGAGTCGGCCAGGGAGTAGACGACCTTCCTGTTGATGCCTGTGGGAGATACAGGAATGTGAGCGGAGAAGAACATGGCCTGGCACTCCGCACTAGAATATTACGGGTTTGCTGACTTTTGAAGGGTCACACAAAGAATAGTAATTGTAGAAACCACGGCTTTGATTCTACAAAAATGTAAAAAATATACAACTAAATTGAATGGTAAAGAAATGAAAAATATTGGCAACAAATATAAGAAATAGTTGGATTGTCTTAATATATTAAAGAACCCCACACATCTTTAAGAAAAACTCTAAGATGCCAATAGATATGTAGGTAAGGATGTGCCACAGAAAGAGAAATACAAATTAATTAATTACTTTAACAAATATTTATCTAGAATCTATCAGGCACTATTCTAGCTGCTAGATATTATAGCAATGGACAAGACTCAAACATTTCTTGAGAAAATTTTTACATTCTAGTAGGAGTAAATAAGAAATTAACAATAACAAAGAATCAGTAAAATAAATGGCATGTTAGAGGGTAAAAATGGAGAAAAATAAAGCCATAAGGGCGGATCAGAAGGGCTGGGGGGAGAGGGAGTTTGGGAGATAGAGGGAAGGGTAGGAATTTTAAATGAAGTGGTCAGGAAAGGGCTTGACATTTGAGTAAAAACCTGAAGGAAGGGAGGGAGTAAACAGTGCAGATTCTGGGGGAAGAACACTCCAGGCAGAGGGACCCACAAGTGCAGAGGTGTGAGGTGGAAGCCAATCTGCTGTGTTTGAGGAGCACTGTTGAGAAGACCAGTGTGACTAGAGCCAAGAGAAAAGAAGTAGAAAATGACATCAGGGTGATAACGGGTCGGGGAGCAAATCCAGTGGGGTTGTGGTGATGCGGGAAGCCACTGGAGGGCTTTGAGGATGGGACTCAAGTGATGTGACTTAGATTTTAACAGGATCATTCAGGATGCTGGTTGTTAACAGAATGAAGAACAGCAAGAGAGGAAGCAGGGAGACCAGCTGACAGACTCTTGCAGGAATATAGGCAAGCCATAATGGCAGCTTGAACAAGGTGGTGGTGTTGGAAGTGGTGAGAAGTGACCAGGTTCCAGATCTAATCCGAACACATAGGTGGTGTGAAAATGAACAAAGGGAACCTCATTTAATATGGAGTTGGGAAGCCTTGAAGGGGAAGCTCTCATGCACTACCACTCGACGTTTGCAGACCCCAGCAAGAAGAAGTGTATCTTGCTTGCTGCAGTAGGAAGAAGCTTACTTTATATATTCTAGTAGAAGAAAGGAAGACTTTCTCCTTGCCCAGCAACAGCCCAGCCAATGTGCAACCACCACACTCAGCCAATGGGATGCTGCCACCATCCTGAACTCTCTCTCTCCTCCAATAGACTTTTGTTCAAAACAGCCCTTCCCAATGTCCTCCTTTCCTCTATAAAAGCAAGCCCTTCTCCTTTGTTCTCCAGACTTGCCTATGGCTCGCCACAGTTTGCATGTCCCGAATTGCAATTCTTCTGCTACTTCTGAATAAACTCATCTTGCTGGTAAAATAACTGGCTATTTTACTTTTTAAGGTTGACAGTGGTGAGAAGTGAGGAGGTAATGGACATATTCTGAACTTGGAAGTGGTGATAAAAGATTATTTCCTGATTGTGAAGCTGGCAGGATATGGGATGTGAGAGAAAGAGAAGACCCTAGGATGACTTTTAGGTTTTGGCCTGAGAAGCTGAAAAGAGGGAGTTCCAACAGCTGAGATAGATAGGACTGCAGGAGGACTAGGATTTGGATGAAAGGTCAGGAGACCCATTTTGGACAGATTAAGTTTGAGATGGGCATTTTATATTTAAGCGGAGATCCGAGTAGGAAGTTAGTACAGGAGGCTGGAGATCAGAGGAGAGTCTAAGCTGGAGCTATAAATTTGAGGGTCATCAGTGTTCAGATGGCATGCAGAGCCATGAGAATGGATGAGGTCATAAGGGAATGTAAAGAGAAAAAGGAAATCCAATGGCCAGTGAGCCTGGAGCCCTCCCTCCATCAAAGAAAGAAGAAGATCTAGTCAGAGAGTGATCTCCAGCTCCATAATTTAAAGAAATACACTTAGTTCCCAAAATACCATTTTATCTTAATATATACTACAGCTAAAACATATCAACCAGGAAATGTCCATCAACAACCAACACATTAGTGAGTGATGACTGGATTGACTTCTGGTTCTGAAGACTGATTTAACTGTTTTTCTCAGAGGATCTTGGCGTTTCAAAATGGTTTATGCACCTGAAATTCGCTAGAAGTTAAGATTTATAAGAAGCCAAATGTAATAACTTCGTAGGCTGAAAAAGCATCATTTTGATCTTAAATTCTCTTGATTAAGACAGTCATTAGTCATGACTCTAGCTATGCAACTACCTGAAAATATCTTTTGTGAATCATGGACCCTGGAATATAAGCTCTTAGAGGGGAGGGTCTAGGCATGTGTTGTTTTCTATTATAACACCTCACACTGGGGATAGACTTTGGCAGTAATAAGAGTTAAACACTTTACTCCCCCAATGTACAGTTTCCCTTAAGCCAAAATTCCCAGCAAACCAATAAAATCATATATCTGGAGGGAATGACATAAATTTCATTATGTGGCTTTAACCAAAAGGTCCAAACTGAGAGCTTGTTCTTGGTTCCATTCCAGAGAGTCCATTTTTTCCAAAGTTTCATCATTTACTTTTATTTCTCTTTCAAAACAACCACCCTGTGATATATAAACATCAACCTCTGATTTTATTGGTGCTGGGATTAAAAACAAGAAGGCTTTCCTTTTCTCTTGCTGCCCCTAGAAATAAGGCCCCAGAGCAGAGGTTTTAGGAACGCGTTCTGGCTATTTTTAGAGTGGCTGCAAGATTAAATTCTTCAACGTACATTCCTGGGGTGAATACACAGAGGGTTGCGGAGGTGATCAAACTTGCACATGAAATACAGTCAGAGCTGGTTGTGTACCCCGGAAGCTGCCGTGACTGACTGGATGGTCTCAACGCACCTCTCAAAGTCACAAAAATGCATTTATAGAAACACATCAGCGATTGACATAAATACACCACACAGGTTTTCAAACCATACACATTCCCTAAGGATTTAACTTCTACTCCCAGCATATGGAACACCACTCTTACCAAAAATAAGATGGGACAGGATGGGAAATTCATGCAGCATCTTTCATCTGAGTATCTGCTGACAGCTACAAAACCCACTTCCCTGATGCATAATCCGAGGGCTGAGGATTTGCCTGGAACCACTAGCATTTTTAGGTGAACACGAGGAATGAAGTCCTGTTTTTCCTAGGCTCCTTGCTCAATCCCCTTAAGGATTCCAGGAGATCTGCTCTGGACATGGTTCCTCTTCGGGTCTGAAGTTCATTTAGGAAGAAGGTAATTTCTGACTCCCTGTTCTAAGAGCCATGGCGCTCCAACCAGCTGAGTTAGAGACGGAGGGGTTGGGTTTGCACACTGCTGCTCTCTGGGGCAGGAAGGCCTAAAAGGAAGGTGATTTAGATTTCCTTCACGGGACATCACTAAAATCTAATTAAAAATGTCACCTGTACTCCCGGTCTGCCGCTTTCTCTTCCAGCCCTACTCGGAGGCACTGGGTTCTGCTCAGATCCCCAAGCAGGAGATGCCATGTTCTCTGAGCTTCCTGCTCAGCTGACCAGCCCTGTTGTTGGATCTCTGCGTTTACAAGGCTGACATTAATCAGACACACAAAGACCGTGGCTCCCCTCCAGGCAGATTCTGTTAATTTAAACTCGGTGACAGAGTTTTTCTGCTTTACCACAGCAGAAAACCATCCCTTCCCCTGCAAGTTGCTGATCCAATTCCCCTCACCTCCCCATACATTTTGTTTCTAACAGTATCTTGGGCATTCACACCAGGAGGATTTGGGAGATTTATTGTTTACCTCTCTTTTCTGTTACCAATCAGACTGATATGGAAGCAAGACTAGAAAAGGTGGCGGGGGGATCCAAACCAAGAACCCTGCTAAATAGTATCACTTATGATTTGGTAGCTCTCAACAAAAGAGCAGGATATATTTTTGGAACATATTAAAACTCCAATGTAAACACAATTGCAATGGATTTCAATGATTTCTAGAAATAATATCAGATGCGTAAATGCCAATTTGGAGGCAGTACATTTGGTGTAGCACTTGGTCTTTGCTGTGTTACCAGGCTATGGGGTGCTGTCTTCGTTAAATGAATGCAGGTCATGTCACTAAAGTGGAAACTTTCTATCTAAGGGCATTTGATAAATGCCATCCTTCAAATCACCATCCCTTCACTATGTACCCAGAGAAAAAGATGAACCTGAGCAGAAGACTCGATTGCTAATTGGTCTAACGCTCTTACTACATGTCACGATGTGTTATATGAAGGTATAACATTAATCCATCATTTTGCGTCTGTGTTTTTAAGTATGTAATTCTCTTCTCCAATTTGACCCTAATTTAATGAGGACAGAGCTACTTAGCTTCTTAAAATGCTAAAATGCCAGGCTACAGGAGAAGTATGACTTTCATTGCAAGTGAAGTTTCTGCACGTTAACTGTGACAAATGGAGCAGGCAGGCCTTCAGAGGATTAAAATCAAGTGAAAAGAGAATGATTAAAATTTCTATTTGGTCAAAGGAAGTAATAGGTAGTGGCATTGTGTGGAGTGAGGTTGGAGGAAAGAAATAGCACATAGAGATCCCCAGTAAGGAAGGCTGTGAAATCCAGGGGTGGGTTGCCAAGGGAATGCGTATTCCCTCCCTTGGAAGGTTTCTAAATGGAAGCTAGGTTCCTTTCAATTCAGTCAAATGGAAAGATGGACTTTTTGGACATGGGACTATACAAAGTTCTTAATGCTTTAAAAAGAAGGCAATGGTCCAGTCCTGGAAGACAGGAGACCTTGCTTCTAGCCCATGATCTGCCCAAACTACACAGCGTACCTGGGCCAGTCACTTAACTTCACTGGGTCTCAGGCCTTTTCACTTTTAAAATGACAGAACCCAGGCCACTTGAG